CAACTGAAATAAATTTGATTTAATGAAAAAAACTAATATTCAAAGACATAGCTCAATATAAAATGATATATTTATGATTTTTCCAATTTCCTATATTTTTTTTTTTTTTTTTTTTTTTTTTTTTTTTTTTTTTTTTTTTTAGTATTAATAACGTAAGTATGTTTCAATTGATATTCAGTAACACATGAATATCGTTTCTGCTCAGACCAAGCATATATGATTTTATTCTTTTTTTAATGAGGTTGATCGAATTTGACGCTATTATTTCTCGTCTCAGGTTTTCTGAAACTTGGTTGAAAACTTTTTTACATAAGTACATGTGATTTCTTCTGCCAAGGTTTTTTTTTGATGCATTTGTTTTTATGTGTAGTTGTGTTTTCTGACGAGTTTGGTAATTGTGTTCCAATGCTTGTAAAAGGTCTTTTTTGTTTTTATATGTGTGTACCAAGAGATTATAAAAAAAGAGTTGCCTCAAATCGAATATCTTTGTTTCAGTAAATAAATCTTCGGTAGGATAACTTCTTTTTTTATGGTACATAACTTTCAGAAAATATTTTTGTAATGTCATTAGCTTTTTTAAATGTACGTTTAGTGCTCCGCCCCATGCAAGTATGCCATATTTCATCCTGGACTCTATGAGGGCATAATATAAGATTTTCAAATGGTATAAGTTTCCAAGATGTTTGAGAAGATTTTGAATCTGTATAACATGCTTCTAAGGGTATTCACTACATTTTGTATATGTTTGTCCCATCTGAGATGTTGGTCAATTGTTATACCTAGATATTTTATTTCGTTAGTTGTTTGTATTTCCATTGATTCATTATTCATTTCTATCGATAGTTTATCAAAATCTGGAAGTTTATTTTTATAACTGGCATAGGGCATAAACTTTGTTTTTTCAAAATTTATTGTCAGTTTCCGTGAGCTGAACCATTTTATGATTTTCACCATGTCAATTTCCGTAGCTGTTTTCAAATCATGCCAATTGGAGTCCTTGTAAAAAATCACTGTGTCATCTGCAAAACTCGTGATTTCACCGATTGTATCGAGTGAAAGTAAATTATTTATATAAATAGTAAACAGTATGGGTCCAAGAACTGTTCCCTGGGGAACTCCACATAACACTACTTTCTCATTACTATACGTTTCTTGAATTTGTACAATTTGTTTTCGATTTGATAAATAGCTAGTGAACAGCTTATGTGGAGTTCCCCTTATATTCCTATACTCTCCAAGGTATCTAACAATAGTATATGGCTTACTGTGTCAAATGCCTTGGCGAGATCAAGGAAAATGCACAGAACTGAATCCCCTGAGTCTACTGCTTGATAAACATTTGTCAGTAGACTACTTATAGCATCATTTGTTGATTTTCCATCCCTGAATCCAAATTGTCGGTCTGATAATTAATTTATCAATGACAACTTGTCACTATAATGTCATGGTCATGGCTACTAGAATTTAATTACAATGGGCGTGTACACCTTAGTAGAACTTTTAACTCAAACCATGTTTATAATGATCCTTTTATACATAAATAATGATTGACGACATAATTCGATCGAAAAATTAACTGGAATGTTTTATTTTTGGACATAAATAAAAGTACCTTCTGAAAACAGACCTTCTTATGACGTAGAAACCTCATCTCGCCATAGTTAAAAGAAAATACCAAAAGCCCGACGGAGACTGAGGCAACTGGTATAGTAATTCTTTCAACTGTGATATCGCGCTAATTCACTCTGTCAGAAATCATGTATCATTCATCTCTGTCTGGAATAGTCTTGTTTCAGTATTAGGGTTTTGACGTCACATCATCGCCTCGTTTTCAGAGGTCCGAAAAAACGGGGATTTCAATTATTTTTTATAAAACGTAGGGAGCTCACAGCAAGAAACGGTTTGCGGTGGTGAACTAGTTTGGGTGAGTTCTATCGAATTATGAAATAAAATTTTTTGTGATATAAGCCCATTGAAGAGAATGGCTTTCATTGTGACAATAGGTTCATATTTGAGTTTCACAGAACTGAAATGATTGAAATGTAGTGCTAGTGGTGAAAAAAATTCAATATATACACCTTGGTAGTGAAGAATATTATTACCAAGGGACGTATTTCAAGAAATGTATGAAGTACAGCTTTTTTGCCTAGACATTCACAAGAAAAAAAATGAACACATGAGCATACATTGATAGATTATTTTCAACACAAAATGAAGTGAGTAATCAGAAAATAAAAAGGATGTTCGCCTCATTCTACAGAAAATAGAGAATAGAAACATGACAATTATTTTGGAAGCCGCATATACATACAGCGTGTCTCATTTCAAACGGCCCCCCCTCTATATCTCAGCTATCAGTTGTGCGATCTTTACCAAATTTGCATCAATATGACCAGTTCTTCAAAGACAATTATCATTTCAGACGGTGTCGTACATTTTTATTGAAATGAATAGGGGTCAGTTTTTTATTAAATCATATTATTTTTTTCACAGGAAAACTGACCTCATAATATTGTTCTTCATGGCTTCAAAGTCACATATGTGGATTTTTATAAGATGCCTATGAAGGGTTTCAGAAAAACAGGCACATCTAAACAGCATTTTTGCGAACGTAATAATTATTTACGCGGAAACGGTGGGTTCAACATAAAAAAGTATACCTCGTGTTTCTTCCCGAATCATGATTCTCCACCTACCGAAGCCATTGAACGTTCCAAAATTCGTAGCTGATTTGAAGTCACTATTTATTCGAGACTGAAAATGAAAGAAATTAAGCCAATCCTGTTAATTCGGAATTAGGTGATTTTTTGCATATGGGGGTTCGAAAGCATGAGGAACAATAATATGAGGTTAGATGTCCTGTAAAAAATGCCTGATATGATTTTATGAAAAATCAACCCCTTTTTAGTTCAATAAAAACGCACGGCACTGTCCAAAATGATGTGCATCTCTGTAAAACTGATCATATTAATGGTTATTCATACCACACCAAATTTGGTTGGAATTGCATGACTGATAACTGAGATATAGAGGGGGGGCCGTTTAAAGTGAGACACGCTGTATATAGGGGCATAATTTAGTTCAATTTCCAAGTTGAAATTTCTCGTTGATCAGAAGGATCAAGAAGAATCTGATATCATGCAGGAATATTCCTTTGACTGTATTTTATTGATGTGCTGAATATATATTATGTACATATTTCGAAAACATCTCGTATATGTGAAGAGGAACAACTCTTGATGCATTTTTGATCTTATGACTTGCCGATGGAAGAATTCCCAAGAACATAATATAACCTCCAGAGCTTCAAAAAAAAATCCAACACCTACCTCCTCTCCCTGCTGTCTTCCCTAGGTACGCGCGATGTTCCACGAACATTATGGAAGTTCCTTTCGTGCACTCCAAGAGATAAAAAAAAATAAAAAGAAACACCTTGACCCTCTGGACATCTATCTCTCTCTTAATTGCCTTCTTTAAATTCCTCAACTGATTCTTGGTAAATTGCACCATTTTATTGTCAAAATTGAAGTATTTAAATCAAAATTGTGTGAAATGTGTTATTCGAAGATGCCCCAGTTACTTTATGAATTGTTGAAAATAGGTTCCATTGTTTCCCAAGCACAAGTACAACTGTTCGCAGACGTTTTGAAGACTCAAAAAATCATCCCTACTAAAAATATTCGGCTTCGATTTCGGTTCAAATCTGGTCAAAAATTCTTCTCGATATCCGCAACCATTCCTGATGATATATCATAGACTACAGAAAGTCATCCAGTAATCTTTGGATATATGGCTTAGAAATTGACCTTCGAAGCCTCATTCACACCAGTGGCGTATCTTCATATGTCGCCGCCACCCTACCATAATAACTTGAAACCCCAGGCTTGAATTTTAACTATGAAGAAACGACAGTAAATTCAATACCTCCATGGATTACAAGGATGAGTTGAGGATTCTATATTAAATTATTATTCACATTCAAATATGAAAAAATAACAAATTCAATTCACAACCATGTAACAAAAAAAAAACGAACTCATACAAGGTTATTCATATAGTGGCAAGTACCATTGAAGTCCGTAGTTAGAAAAGTGTTTTTATTGTATCTTTTCACAGAGTGAAAGGATGATTCTGTTTTTTATGTATATGATGTCTTTAGATAAATTCCGGGTGAAACCCTAGTGTCGTGGATTCAGGGGTCATATAATATGACACCTTTCGTATCTCACAAACTACTCTAAATGAGTGTTTTCAGTTTTTTTTCAGTACTTTTTCAGATCACCAGACTGACTATGACGGGCTGCATCGCTTTTATAGGAAAAAAACTGAAAATGTTTTAAGCGGTTGTTTCGGTGATTGAATTTCTCACTTTTTCTCTACCACCCTTCTTCAAATATACGCCATCGACAATAAAACAATATTTCCAGATTCACTAAAGAATTATCCTATCCGAGATAATGCAACTATACTATTGAATTTTCGAATGAACTTATTTGATTCACTCCTTGTATTTTCCTTTAGCATGTTTTCTGAGAATCTGATGAGTTGTATTATTCTACATGGTGAATAACATCATTTCAATTGAATTATATATTATTACAGTTACTTTATTACATAGGAGCAAGTTTAAATAGGACGGCACTTGTTATAAACGTCACTTTTCACACTGTATATCACATTTCATGAGAGGTCTGGTAATAGAATAGTGATAACACTTTTTAGCCATGATTTCTAAACAGTTATTGGCCTGCTATTGGAATAACAAGAATATTTTATGATGTTGCTGATCTTATTTCAGTAAATTATCTTGATGAAATATCAAATAAGTGATTATTCTTTATTGAATTCTAGCTACCTATATTCATGTGATGCTAAACTTATATGGAAATCGAAATCTTCTTCTTGACTTTATCTTCTTCACCGAAGGAAGATAAAATATGGTCACAATTAATATACACCACCCATAGTTCAATGCCCTGAAACATTTTATTTTTTTACAGTTTTGGGAAGTTATATCTGCAGAACATGGAATCGACCCCAGTGGAATTTACACAGGAGATAGTGAACTGCAATTAGAGCGTATAAATGTATATTACAACGAAGCATCAGGTAATTTTTGTCAATTCGCTATCAATTAGTTCTGTCATAAGTCACCTTTAAATATTTTTTGGATAATGCATTCAATTGATTTCCAAGAGTACTTATTATTCATGTGAATTCAACGAAATTTGAACTAGTGGTACATTTTTTTAAAAGAAACAATAGACAGTGACTTGTGTTTTCATTGGATGTATTATTTTATGGTCGGAAAATCACATTTTTACACGAAAACAAACCTCATCACGCATCATGTGAATTTTTATATTTTTTTCTATATGATTGAAAATTAACATAAGAATATATTTGCAATTTTTTTCGAAAGCAATAATATTTCTATTTTGAAACTTGTTCTAATAACATATTTTGTTAAATTTGAAGCAAAATCACAATGGGCAATTCATAACAAATAGGTACTCACATTTTTTAATGTCTTTAGAGCCTACAAAGCAAATTAAGGTTTTGTTTGCGGCTTGCGGGGGTGTACCTATATAGTCATGACAAGAGCAATAATTTGTTTTTGTAATACGGGTACATACATTCTGTAACATTCTTTAGTGATTTCAATAATTGTTCATTCTTTTTTCCCGCTCCAGTAATTGTGTGCTTCTTGCGGATAATAGCATTGAATCATAAGATGTTTAAAACGAGTGTAACGACCTAAAAATATTTAATTGGATATACTGACTCACCACATCAAGTCACTTATTTCCTGTTTTCAATTTGGCAGTTTAGCCGCATGACAGGCTTTGCATCTCAATAATTTTTGAGTAAAATCACAATTGAGAAAATGTGCATAAAAAACACAATTATCAAGTTCATAAAATGAATATAATCTGCTGACTCATCGTATTCTTTGGAGTAAAAAATGTAGTTGATAATTTCACAAAGCTTTATAATGGGTGTTGTATATACAGGGTGGTCCAGGTTGAACATCATTAATTTTGATAAGCGATAAAAAAATGAGGAAGAAGTAGAAAAGAAAAAACGTTATAAATGCTTGCTTACAAAGATATAGGGTGTCAGAGTTTTGACAGCTTAGGTTTGGAATCATCAAAATCAACTTTGTAATGTGTACTTCATGAAGATTATTCAAAGCCATGCTAATCACAGCTTGTATAGAACCTTATTAGTTTTAGCCTTTTTTCGGTCGCGTGGTTTGGAAGTTTTATGATGATGAGTATTCCAATTTTTGCCCAAATCTTTGACACTGTGTATCATTGTAAGGAACAATTTTAAACCAAAGTTATTTCATGGGAGTCTACTTGTTTTCCGTTGTTCTATCGCCAATCGAAATTAATTACGGTTAATCTGGACCACCCTGTATATTTATGATGGCCGATTGATCTCTAAAAAATACTGAATTGATGAGTTATTCGCGGTACAAATTATAAATCAATGACTGCACTCGAAGAAATTGATGGGTTAAATCACTTAAAAAGAGCATATGAAAATGAGCCTATATCTGGTATAATAATTAAATCAATTCCAGCGAACAATAGTTGAATACGAATGGGATTGTTATTTTGATCAAGAAAATCTGTTATCAACCAGATTTTAGTCTCACAACAAAATGAGTTGTATGTTAACCATCATTTGTGTCCCTCCACTTATATTTTGTATAGATAGCCATACAAACAACAAAGTGCATAGTAGATATAGGTATACTGAAGATTTCGAATGAACAGCAAGTTTATTCATTACATAAAATTTTGAAAAATAGTATGAATATTTTCCTTAATGTGTGTCTACTTCTTCAACACAAGTAACTTCTCTCCTCTTCATATAAGTTGGAGAAGTCAAATCCAACCTAAGAAACATACCGACATTATATTATTTACAGAAAAATTCTTTCATCATTACCAAAACAAAGCTATTATCTAAGTGTTGAATGGTGGCCAACTTTACAAAATATCTACAGTATAATCCTCTTTATTTGTAATTTCTCGTCTCCGTAATTTGAATGTACTCTTTCATTTATCCTCTATGTCACATCTTGCAAGAAATCTATAGAATCGAAATATGAATGCAATATTGAATTGATTGAATTCATCAATAATACTCACCGTCACATAATTTCCATCATCTGATGAATTTTCCTCATCATGATTATTAATTGGGCGGACTACATCAGTGGTACTCCTTGACGAGAGATTTCAAGATTTTCTCAATCTGTTTGTATGGTTCTGGTACTTGTCATATACAACCTCCCTGGGGATATATCCGCTTCTTTTGTACTAAATGATCCAAAAACATATCTGATTTAGAAATAGAATGCTATAGAGTCTAATGAATTGAAATTTTATTGAAATTGGATAATCAACATAATAGACAGAGAGAGAGGGAGCAACTTTTAAACAACCCCTACAACCTGAAGTTCAATTAACCATTTCAATACATACCTTCATACATAATAGGGATGTCCTTTCGTACGCTCCATCAGCTAATATACGTGTACATACTATATTTGAAAGTCTGAATGAAGCACTCGATATATGTTTCTAATCATTAGAAAGACGAAGAGCTATCCAAAAATACAATTTCTGATGAGTCTGTGAATTTCTGAGAACATGGGCATTCAAAACTATAGAGTTTCGTTTGATTGGCAAATACGTCTCGAGAGTAGGCCATGACAATTACAATTCTGATTTGATTCTCAGCGATATAGGCGGCAGCGTCAAAAGAGCGTTCCTATTTGAACCGTCTAGCTCTATCAGTTTGAAATGCATATACCTTGACAAATACGGAAGATGCATACATATACATTGCTTTCCTTTAACATCTTCCCCTTCAATTTTTCGAACGGGTCAACTGAAAAAAAACTTGGGAGGATAATGAAATTGCTGCAGGAATACTATATTTCGGACTAAAATTGACAGATGAAAATTTCAAGATGGCGACTGGTAGCCTGAATACAAACATATCAATATGGATATTTCATTCCAACAAGATGGAGCACCACCACATCACTCCAGACAAATTAGAAACTATTTGGATAATACTTTCTCAGGTCGTTGGATTCCCTGTCGAGGTCCTACGGAATGGCCAGCTTGCTCGCTAGATTTGACACCTTCAGATTTTTTCATGGGGCTAATTGAAGCAGAAGGTGTACGAAACTGAACCTGCTTCAATATTGGATATACGACAAAGAATGACATATATATGTAGAAATATCGACGTAACCGTGTTCGAAAGTGTTCGGCGTGAAATATCGGAAAAGCTGTTCTCATGTCTCAAGTTCAAGGCAACCATTCCGAGCATCTTCTGAACTAAACTCAGCTTATTTCCTCAAATTATGAAGTTAAACGTGGATGTATTCGGGCATAAAAATGTTCGCCATTTTGTTGTAGGTTGAGATATGGACTTTCTAGGGTCGTGAAGTATTCGTCAGGAGCTTCAAAAGGATGTGTCACAAGACCCCCTTTTCCATTCAATTTTGTTTCCAGATGGAGCCCAGTCGCCATCTTGAAATTTTCATCTGTCAATTTCACTCCAAAATATAGTATTCTAGTTAAATTTTTTTCAGTTGACCCGTTCAAAAAATGAAAGGGGGGGCATTGAACAAAACCACTATATACTATGTATACAGTGTGTCCCACTTACCATGCTCACCATGGGTATCTCCCTCGGTATCTCCTTAACGGTGAGAGATACGAGGTCGGTTGAATGACACCAAATGTGGAGTTTGTCAAGGCCAACTATAATGTGAAAAAATATTTCGATGAAATCTATTCGTTTTTGTTTTATACGCAAAAAACAGATTTTGGTCATTTTCATGTCTCCTCCGTAACTTCTTTATTTATAAAAATATTCAAATAGGAATTTGACATTCTAATTGCAGTTTTTCAAAGTGATTCCGAAAAAAATATGAAATTTATATCAACTCTTCTAGAATTTGAGATATCAGCACCAACTTTAGTTTTTCAAATGTAGGTCATAGCTCACTATGACTTAGTTACAAATAACTTTTTTTTCTCTTACAGATGATATGTCGCAGTAATAGTTTTGTGTTGATAACAACGGAGCTATCGTCATTTATTCAAAAACAAAAAATTATTTGGAAGCCGCCATCTTGAATTTATAAATTTTAACAAATAAATCATGATCTCCGACCTCAAAAACCCTCATTTATTATTTCGAAAATTTGATTCCTTGGATAATTGGTTGTGTTCTATCGACCTGAAATTTCTCAGCGCTGCGACGTTGCCGCTTATATTGAAAAGTAGCAACAACATTGATTTTTCGAATGGGACACCCTGTATATCATTCCATTTCCACATTCTCCCTGAAAAGCTGATTTCATCGATCTATCACACTTGGGGTATAGCGGGAATGGTAACAAAGATATAGGGTGTAAAAAATCGAGATTTTTCAACTTCAAGAATTTTTTGTATCCAAACTATTCATAATTGATCAAAACGATTTTTATGTCCCTATCTCAGCTTTTCATGTACGACTATGATAAAATTTAGGGATAGGGACATGAAGACCGTTTTGACCAATTATGAATATTTTCGGCACAAAAAATTCCTAAAGTTGAAAATAACTCTGTTATTATTACTGCTAGACCCCAAGTATTATAGGTCAATGAAATCAGCTCTGCAGGGAGAACCTGAAAATGGAATAATATACAGGGTGTCTCGTTTAAAAATCAAAGTTGTTGCTACTTTTCAATATAAGCGGCAACGTCGAAACACTGAGAATATTTTAGGTCGATAGAACACAAATAATCATCCAAGGCACCAACTTTTCAGAATAATCCTGGGTTGCGTTCTCCAGAAACGTCTAATGTGCCATCCACCGTGAATCAGCCTCTATATGTATCACATATACAGTGTGTCCCACTTACCATGCTCACCATGGGTATCTTTTTAACGGTGAGAGATACGAGGTCGGTTAAATGACACCAAATGTGGAGATTGTCAAGGCCAACTATAATGTGAAAAAATATTTTGATTAAATCAATTCATTTTTGTTTTATACGCAAAAAACAGATTTTGATCATTTTCATGTCTCCTCCGTAACTTCTTAATTTATGAAAATATTCAAATAGGAATTTCACATTCTCTTGGCAGTTTTTCAAAGTGATTTCGGAAAAAATATGAAATTTATACCAACTCTTCTAGAATTTGAGATATCAGCACCAACTTTAGTTTTTTGAATGCAGGTCATAGCTCACTATGACTTGTTACAAATAACTTTTTTTTCTCTTTCAGATGATATGTCGCAGTAACAGTTTTGAGTTGATAACAACGGAGTTATCGTCATTTTATACAAAAACAAAAAATTATTTGGAAGCCGCCATCTTGAATTTATAAATTTCAACAAAAAAATCATGATCTTCGATCTCAAAAACCCCCACTTACCAATTTTGAATGGAGTCGGACCAAATCTTGTCCGCCATCTTGGAGCAGCCATTTTTTTTAATTGATGGCGGACAAGACTTGGTGTGATTCCATTCAAAATTGGTAAGTGGGGGTTTTTGAGATCGGAGATCATGATTTTTTTGTTAAAATTTATAAATTCAAGATGGCGGCTTCCAAATAATTTTTTGTTTTTGTATAAATGACGATAACTCCGTTGTTATCAACTCAAAACTGTTACTGCGACATATCATCTGAAAGAGAAAAAAAGTTATTTGTAACTAAGTCATAGTGAGCTATGACCTACATTTGAAAAACTAAAGTTGGTGCTGATATCCCAAATTCTAGAAGAGTTGGTATGAATTTCATATTTTTTTTGAAATCACTTTGAAAAACTGCCATGAGAATTTGAAATTACTATTTGAAAATTTTCAAAAATACAGAAGTTACGGAGGAGACATGAAAATGATCAAAATCTGTTTTTTGCGTATAAAACAAAAACGAATAGATTTTATCAAAATATTTTTCCACATTATAGTTGGCCTTGACAAACGCCACATTTGGTGTCATTTAACCGACCTCGTATCTCTCACCGTTAAAAAGATACCCATGGTGAGCATGGTAAGTGGGACACACTGTACATGATTATTATCGAAGTCAAAGTTGCTGGAAACATTTGTGTGAACAAACCAGCATTTTTCAGTTGCCTCCAGACATGACGGTGGAAAATACGTCCCCCGAGCCATCCTGCTGGACCTGGAACCAGGCACCATGGATGCCGTTCGCTCAGGTATATATGGAAAACTCTTCCGGCCAGACAACTTCGTTTTCGGCCAATCCGGGGCAGGGAACAACTGGGCCAAAGGTCACTACACCGAGGGCGCAGAGCTAGTAGACGCAGTACTAGACGTGGTCAGGAAAGAAGCTGAGAACTGTGACTGTCTGCAAGGCTTCCAGCTCACACATTCTCTTGGAGGGGGTACCGGATCGGGAATGGGTACTCTCCTAATCTCTAAGATCCGCGAGGAGTACCCCGATAGGATCATGAATACGTACTCTGTGATGCCGAGTCCTAAGGTTTCAGACACTGTTGTGGAGCCCTACAACGCTACCCTAAGTGTACATCAGCTGGTGGAAAACACGGACGAAACCTACTGCATAGACAACGAAGCCTTGTATGATATTTGCTTCAGAACTCTGAAGGTTCGTAAACAATAGTACTCAATTGGTACATGAGTCTCCTTTTATAGAATATACAAAATGTTGTAGGTATGATATAGGAGAAATATTAAAAACAATATGGCTTCAAAAAAGTGCAGTCAGAATATATGGACTTATATATATGGAAATATTGGAGCATTACTGAGAAAGTATAGTTACTCCAATCAAATTATCTTTCATTTGATCTTTTCATAAAAGACAATAGATATTATAAACAATTATAAACCCTGCCTTCATTGTATTGAAATGATACAATTTGTTTGATCAGTTTACAATCAGATATTTTCAGAAAACTTTGGCCATTTAGGGTAGAATCTCTGAAATTGGATGTTCATGGTTGAATTTTCTTGTATTATTCAAATATGATAAAACGAAGTTGGGAAAAAATGTTTTCTGCCAATACACTTCAGCTATTTCACGACATTCTTCCTTCAACGTTGAAGGATATATTTTTTTCTCCGATTGGCAGCAAATATTAATTTTGCTCGCTACGCTCGGCTATGAATTCAGCCTCGGCAGTCAATCTACTATTTTGCTGCCTAGTTAAACAAATAAATATTATCATTTATAAATCAACCCAGATAGCACAATGTTATTCATAGAACGTTCATGGGATATTCCCCGAGAATATTTGAATATTCTCGACGCTTTGCGTCTCGGTTAACTGACTAATCTCACGGCAGGAATGAATCACTTCCCACCTTGGTGTGTAATATACTATTGCTTCGTACATAATTAGGTGAAAGAAAATGATCAGATATATAACGTGAACTTGAAAGTATTTGAATTTTTTATGCATTTTTCAATTATATCTGAATGGAAAAGTCCATATTATTATTTTATTGAAGTAGGATTTCTTGTCTATGCTATAGAAACTTAGCATTCTAAAACATCTCAAAATATTTTGAAAATCTTGTTGGCTCACCTGTCAGTTGTGACACATGCCAAAATCGACTTCTTATAGGTTATTGAACATGCATTATTTATGTGTGTAGAATCGTTTCTATATTATGCGAATTCCTGTTGGTATCAGAAAGCGATTAAAATGAACTACAGTTACTATTTGATTGTTCTCAAAACATCATTCTATCGATTGTATACAGGGTGTTAGTGAATAAGTATGACTAACTCCAGGGGGTGATTACTTCTGATATTTTAGGAAATAAAGTTCATACAAACATGTGTTTATTTTGCTTCGTTTTGAGATACAGGCTGTTAATATTTTCATGATAACCTTTTTTTTTATTCATAACTCATATGTCTTTTTATAGTGACATGGGTTGAATTATCGATATTTATGATGATTATTATTGTACGCCATTGGTTTTTTGAGTCCTATATTATTATCAGATTGAACATTCATTGAAATAACAACTTTCTTGTTCCTTGTGTTACTTTTGTATCTCGATTAGTTTTTGAGGAAAGAATAATAAATCGATTTGACTCAACATTTTCATGTAGTTGCTAAGGCACCCATTCATATCAGTCAATAAAAATAATTCTTAAATGTTGGGACATCAGTTTCCAACCATACTGAATTTTGCCACCATGAAAGCTACATCCTGTATCTCAAAAACGAAGTAAGTTCGTGCACATGTTCATTCGGACTATATTTCCTGAAATATAAAAAAGAACCACCCCCTGAAGTTTGTCGCACTTATTCACTAATACCCTGTATATATGGTGCCAACCATGCGCCATATTGATTGTAACCTGAGTTGAATTGCCTAATTGATCATTCCCACAATATTCAAAAGTTCTAGAAGTAATTGCGAATTGGGATGAAAGTGGAAACATTCAGAGTATACAAGCGATATCTCATTCAATCAGGTTCCCAATCCCAGCTACGGAGACCTCAACCACTTGGTGTCCCTCACAATGTCTGGAGTCACTACCTGCCTCAGGTTCCCTGGTCAGTTGAACGCCGACTTGCGAAAATTGGCTGTCAACATGGTTCCATTTCCTCGGCTTCATTTCTTCATGCCTGGTTTTGCACCGCTTACGTCACGTGGTAACCAACAATACAGAGCACTGACTGTCCCAGAGCTGACGCAACAGATGTTCGACAGCAAAAATATGATGGCTGCCTGCGATCCTAGACATGGGAGGTATCTTACAGTTGCTGCGGTCTTTAGAGGTGAGTGTTGGTCTTGCGGTTTTACAAGAACATACAAATGGTTTTGAACCATCTTTTAAATATTTTCTTTACAACGGTTTTTCTCTTGCAATTGCTTAAGTATCCCACTGAAAATTTTTGAATATTCACTATATATTTCAAAAGAATAATAAATCTTCAGTGCAAATAAATGGTATATGCACGTGGACGACATTCAGATAGGAAGTTTTTTGAATATGAAGTTGGCAAACATAAATTTCTGGAGCGTTCCGAGATATCTGCAAAAATCATCGATATTTTTCAAGTTCCTAACCGTTACTCGGAATCTATACATTTCATCGCAAAGTTCACCCCATCGGAAGTTGGAATAAGTATATCCTTCATAAACAGGGTGTTTCAAAATCCAGTATAAAGATTTCAGAGACTTTTTCCTATGAATATGTGTACGCAAACACTTCGTTAATGATCCACAGAACGTTTTCAGCACCATTTATATAAATTCAAGGCTCTTTTGTTAGTTTTTTACCTTTAGGTATGTTTGAAAACTTGTAATTTGGATCAGAAACTGAATATGTGAAGTTTTCTGTTCTCATTGTGATAATAGGATCCTGCCTCTCCTTAAAACAATTAATTTAATATAGAAAATTAGAAAAAAAAATGTTGCTCGATAATGGTCGCGGATGTGTGAAAATTCCAAAGGAACAAAAATGTTTATTGACGGAACAGAGAACTCATTCCGTATTTCAAAATCCACCAGTGGCTCACCAAAAAAAAAGATTATATAGCGAAGAAGGCTTGACCCATCGAAAATAGCTTCCTGTAGATTCATTAAAGCAATCGGCACACTGTATGATGTGAAATTTGATCTGGATATCTCGAAAACTGGAAGAGCTATAAGGAAAAAAAGAAAAAAATCTTGAAATTTTTATGCTCTGTAGATCGCCGGTTTCGAAGCGATTGCTGACTAATGTTTATTGATAAGAAAAGTCTTATGTTGATTTCAAAAATATAAGCTCCTGATATCTTGTTACTGAATTTCGAAACACTGTATGAATTATTGGTTCTCGCTGTATGATGTAGGACTAACGGGCGAGGAGCTAGAGCAAGTTATGTATTGACAAAATCTGGATTCTTTGCGTAAACTAGCTTTCTTCATCGGTTTTCGCAGATTGTTCAGTGATAGTTGTTCAGTTAAGTGATGCGCTTATATAGGATGCTCATCTAATTTGTTAAGATTGAAATACAAAATGTATGAATACCCACTGGAAATTGTTATTCCTTGGCATAATTTATGACTTAACGTTTCTTCTGACATTTTCTCTGACGATCAATTTGGAGAAACAAGGTGTAGTAGGAATTTTGGTAAATTCGACCAGTCATTCATCATTATCCTTGTTTATTTTGGAAACGGAGGAATAAAGTAGATTTCCCGTTTATATATACATTGCTCCGCAATCGAAGTGGGACACAGATTTGTAAGATTATAACTCCAAAAAAAAACAACTGATTTTTATTCAGTTTCCAGATTTCAGAAGCTCATTTCACTGTCTTCAGAATTATGATTCTGGGAAGAGGAAAAATGAGAGATTTAATATTGTGAGATATGCTGTCTTGGAACAATTTCGATATATTTGCAATCATGTTGATAATTTCGAACTGGTGTATTTTTGTAAATGATATCTCTGTAAAAGAGAATTGGGGATGCATTTTCTATTCTCCTATATCTCCTCATGAATCAGATATTCATTTCGTACTGAGAATACAGAGTAATTCAAAAAGTCGTTTAAAAATAATTTCATAGAAGACTTTCAGTTCAGTTTGATATCATTCGACTCTCAAAATATTTTGGTTCTCGTTTCTATTTGATAGCATCGAATAATATCCGTACTTAGCGAAAATGTTCCTGAAATTCAAAATTTAAAAAATGATGCAGGCAATTCATATTTATGTTCTCGCATACCCTTTCTTATCTCTAGTCTCAATTCAGTTCGACTCCAGATATGCTTAGTATGATTCATATTTAGGCGTTTGGGGATAAATATTGGTAATCCATTCTCTCGATATTGTTCGATCCTAAAACTTCATCCAGCATTATTATTGACCAAAGAGATTGTGGCAAAAAAGTATTTGAGACTTTCAAAGCATTACGATAAAATTTATAATTTCAGGATATTTCAGTGAAAAATGGATCTCTTTCGATACCTGATATCAAATGAAATTGAAAAAAAAATATTTCGAGAGTCGAATGATATCTCACCAAACGGAAGAGGAACTGAAAGTGCGACTTTCTGAATCACCCTGTTTTTTCAGAATGAACCGATTGAGATACGATGAAAGACCATTCACATGACACAATTTGCCATGTTCATTTGCAACTACAAATTTTAGCCTGTATTCAACTCTGGAAATCACCCTGTATTGATAGGGGAATTAGTCCATAGTGGTTTCAATTTTCTATGCGTCAAATGACCGTGAAAATGTTCTTGTGAAGATTTTCATAAATGAAACACACTATTTTTGTGTCATTTCACGAAAAAAATCACATTAACAGAATACTGTAATGAATCAATAAAAATAAGGAACAATTTCGGGATATGACATGAAAATTTTGGACCGAATGGGATCACTCCAAATTTGATGCCATTCATCACCCTGTGAAATATTCATTTACTCATTTTTTTTTAATTCATGTTTCTGAAGACAATAAAAAAAGCTTCTCAGATCTGAAAACCAAATTGACTTCGATTAATTTTTTTTCCGTCGACCTCGTATTAACGACTAAGTTTAATGTATATGAAATCGTTCATTAATGACCCCTATTAATGAACGATTTGTCTATTAATACACGATTGTTTTATAGGCAACCAAACATACACCGCGTGCATTCATTGTATATGCTATAACTTACGGAATCTGCATTTAAATCGAAAATATGGATTTCATCGACGATTTTCCGTTAACGGGTTCCCCTTTCCAAGTTTCTGACATGATATTAATCCCTGTTTTCTAACACAAGGAATTTATTTCCTATGTTGATCATTTCGACAAATGTTGAATGTGTCTAATGTCAGTAACAAGGCTATACTGGGTGATTCTTAGCAGTTTCCGGATGGATGATGATTTGGCGAAACAAGTTTTCTTCATTGCAGGAGAAATGAGAAATATAGTCGACGGAAAAATTTTGTAACCAACTTGTATATTAAAAGGCGATTAATGATCTCGAACATTAACGCACTCGCTTCGCTCGCACGTTAAAATATCTCGATCATTAATCGCCCTCATTAATACACTAGTTGGTTAAATAACTATTAATCTTACGAATCTACTTCAATTGCGGGGCACTGTAGATTTCCAGTCCTAGAATGCCAAGGAGTCGTGTCTCCCAATATTGACATATCTTGTTGGGTATGAGATGGTATGAGTATTATGACTCATTTTAGAAGTGGTGCATTTCCATTGATATCATATATGGACGAATCAGTGAATACATTGATAATCTCTATTGTTATTGTGGTTACAAAAGCCATAATGATTTCCTTTCTGAATATATTCGTCCATATAAGGAAGTAGTCAACATGCATCTTTACATAATGACGTAAGGAGTATAACCATGATCGGCAGAAAACAGATTATATGATACCTATTCATATGTACATACAGCTATTATGATTGCCCAATTTGGAAAATCAATACTGTAATGGAAGTCTAGACTTGAATATTGAGGATCTGGGAGCTATATTGAAATAATGAGGATATTTTTATCAGGTCTTGTTGAACGTTGCCATATCTCTACCCCTAACATCGTGCAGTGCAACAATGCTCAAGATAACTATGTAAATTTTGAAGAGTATTTTATGTTTTGAGAAACGGTCATTTACCGGTATTACAACGATATTTTTCGTCCACTGAGTTATCGAATCTGCTACCTATATAACAATATACAAATGGCAAATTGACGTACACCTCATTTTCCTACCTCGCTTCTCAGCGAATATTTTTTCGATTCATAATTATAACGTTCATCATAATAGGTATTTATTCTTGATGATACGGATATTTATATTATCATGTATGATATCCATAAGTACAGTCTCCCTATGTGCGATATTCGGTCACTGACATACCTATAGGCCTGACCATTGTCGATCAAACTGACAACCTAGTTAGGCTGTTAGTAAGCGAGAGCTATATAATACCTCCTCGCGTACTAGCAGTCGCCTACAAGGTTTCCTTTTTCGATCGACAATGGTCTGACCATTGTCGTTCTAGATGACAACCTAGTGAGGTAGTTAGTAGGAAGGTATTATACCTCCTCGCACTAGGTCGCCTACTAGGTTTTCATTTAGATCGACAATGGTCTGACTTACTGCCATTATTTTGCTCAATGTTATATCTAAGTATAAGTAATGTATAAGAATTCTGGCATTTGTGTCACTGTTTATATTGAGTTATATACAGGGTGTCTGTAAAATGTTGGGACATGGCTCGGCTGTGGACTCCTGGGATAAAGACGTTGATTTAGGCCAACTTAACTATATCAAAAATCGTCTCGTTGAGTTGGTACAAGGCGTTGAAGTTTTTTTGAAAAAAAAAAAACTGAAGTTTTTTCGGAAAAAAACATAATTTTGCTCGTGAGAAGAGTAGGCTGAGATCGATTTTCATAATTTTTGGCATGGCATGTTCTGTAACTGTAAAGCACGTTTTCAGATCTTTTTGATCATCATCAGTGACCTGCAAGTGTTTCAAACAACCATGTTGCCGTACAAATTTGGTGATAACTTTTCAGAGGTTAGACTGGAAACTTCCAGTTTCGTTTTCCAGAAAGTTATTTCCTTCAGAAATATTTTCTGTATCGTGTTAATTTTTGATAAGTCTCGAGGTTCATTTGCAAATAAATAATTTCTGATCTGATGCATCCTGCGCATTTTTGAAAATTAATCTAATTAGTTGGACTATTTTCTGATCATGACTACAATGTATTCTCATTGTGAACAAACTGATATGTTGCTGGTCCTCGCGGGCTCTACAAGAACTCTCGCGTTACAAATTCAGTGATAACAATTCAGGATCTAAGGTGAGAACTTTAACGCCTTCTACCAACTCAACGAAACGATTTTGGATATAGGTAATTTGTCTAAAATCAACTCATTTTTATCGCAGGAAAACAACATTCAACATTCAAGCCATGTCCCAACCAGAATATTTTTCTGAAATATGTATAAGATGCCTCAGATTAGAAATTATTTATTTGCAAATGAACCATGAAACATGTGTCCGCAAACGCTTCGTTACCGATCTACATAGTATTTGTTAAATATTCGTAATTCACCTATCCGGTGATTGAATACTTCGTATGAAGGATGAAATATGGGTCAGAATAGTGAAAATACTAATGTATCGTGGTATAATCAGAAAAAGAAGCTCAATCAGATATGACTTTTTATAGAATTAATTAATGACAAACTTGACAATACACATCAAACTAGAAACATACAGAGTAAATAAAAATTCAATTCTAAAGGATAAATTCTTTGTAGACGTCCCAGCATCGATTCTTTAGCAGTCTTCAATTTTACCAATCGAGTTTTATTTTCTCGACCAGGTATTAATTCTTCAACATTAGCTAGAGGCCAATCTAACCTTTTTCAGTTATCAGCACCTATCAAAACAATATCACCAACTTTGATTTCTCTCTTGGAATGCTTTTTAGCACATAATTTCAGTTGTCTTAAATATTCATTTCTAAATCGTCTTCGAAGATCATCCTTTAGTTTCATCCTGTATCTTAAATGCTTCTTTAAATCCGACCTCTCCACGGCATTTAAATCTGGAACTCCACATTCCAGAATCTCTTTTGTAAACATTGCAGGAGTCAGTGGAACAAGATCTCGGCTATCTTCATGCACATATGTGATCGGTCTCAAATTCACAATAGATTCGCAATCACATATAATAGTCGATAATTCCTCGTAGGTGAGACTTGCTCGTCCCAAAATTTTCCGGAGGAGATCTTTGATGATTTTGATCAACCTCTCCCACCATCCACCCCACCACGAAGCTGTACTGTACTCATTAATCATTTTCCAGTCCAACTGTGAGAAAGCATTGTCGGCACCAACAAAATTCGTGCCATTATCGCTGTATACAGTCGACGGTCTCCCTCTTCTCGCCACAAATCTTCTGAATGATTGCAGAAAGACATCTGTGGACAGTGACGACAAGAGTTCTAAATGGCACAAGTAAACAGGCATATCCATACCTTTTCCACATTTCGAATGTAAAGGGGACCAGCCAAATCTACACCTATAACTTCAAATATGTGAGCTTGTCGTACTCTATTTTCAGTCAGCGACACAGGTGGAACTTCTAAATGTTTGGCATTGAATCTACGGCATATCGTACACTTTGAGATTACAGATCTCACTGCTTTTCTTCTTCTTATGATCCAAAATCTTTCTCGCAGAAAACTGAGCAAACCCTGAACACCAACGTGAAATAATTTCACGTGAGTTTCGTAAATCAGTTTACTCACGATGGGATGATTGGATGGTAGAATCGTTGGATAGCAGAAATCAGGAAAGTCCATTCTCTCAGAAACCTTGGTTTGTATTCTAATGATACCATCATCATTTATGAAACAACAAAAACTCTTCAACTGAGCATCATCAGGTCCATTGAATGCTTCATTCTGCACAAATTTCAAGATACATTTTTCTGCCTGCTCTACCTGCACCAAAGATAATTCATCATCTGTTATCCTGGCATCCTTGTGACGACAATTTTCAATGAATCTTCTGATCCAACCAAGTACTCGGATAATTTTCCCGTATTTCGAAATTCTCTCGTGATACCAAGAAGAATCGGTAGTCGTAGATAAATTAGTGGATATGATATCTTTTCCTCTTTCAGATTCAATGGTCTCTTCATCCCTCTGGTAATTTTGATTAGGCCAGTTTTTCGGAGATTCCTTCAACCATTCAGGTCCCTCCCACCATTTCGAGCAGATCAGTTGTTTTGGGGAACAGCCACGGGAAGGAAGGTCAGCTTTCTAATTTCTAGTACCTGATTCCAAACAAAAGACTTCCATTTCGTATCATCTTTTATCCAAGACAGGACTGCTGTGGAATCAGACCACCAGTAAACTAACAGATCAGGATCAATAATGTCAGTAATAGTTTTGGATAGTCTAGCTCCTATGGTAGCAGCCAACAACTCGAGCCGAGGTGTGGTCATTCGCTTGACAGGAGATACTCTGGATTTGGCTTGTACAAGCTGAACATTCACGCTGTCACACGTTTCAGATCTCAGGAAGATAGCTGCAGCATAAGCGTGTTGACTCATTGCGTCACAGAAAACATGCAAACTACAGTGATTTCTTCCATCAGTGGAACCAAATAACCATCTGGGGATTCTCAGGCTCAGGAGTGTCGGTATTTCCTCCACCCACTTCAAAAAACTTTTCTTGATATCTTCGTGTACTTCAGTGTCCTATTCTATCTTCAACTTCCATATCTTTTGCAATAATATTTTAGGCCAAAGGGAAACTAGGCACGAAAATCCTATAGGATCGAAAAGACGATGAGCAGTAGATAAAATAATACGTTTCGTAATAGTTTCTGTATTGATTTCTTGAAACCATTATGAATTCAACTGCAAAGTATCTGAGTTTTTATTCCAGCAAATATTATTAAGAATAAGCAAAAGTCATTCAAAGGCAGAGTCGTTTTACTGCGAAAATCAAACTGATGCTAAGCCTCATCTAAGCCAAATTATTAGCCAAAACATCAATTGTTCATTGTCGAAAAAATGATGTCAATTATTGAATGCATCTGATAGGCTGATGGTCCATTGTCATTTCATTAATGACTTCTTAGCATTGAAAGACCCATACATATCCTTTATTCATCGTTCAACCAGTAGCTGCTGTTCCAGTGATCTTTGTAAAATGAATTATACAGATTTGATTCGCCAATGCTGTGAAGATAGTGTAATCTTGATTCACATAAATCGATAAGAATTATACTGCTATTCTACAACCATTACAACCAACACAATGAGAGTGCAACATACGTATTGAGTATATGATTGAAACAGCAATGAACATGTACTTTTTTATCCCCGAAAAATAGTGCCAGCAGTATGTCATCGATCAAATCAATGGGCCATTGAACCGCCTGCTATGTCGTGGTTGCTGCACATCCCTTCGTCGTTACCCTTGCAAAATGTCATACAACACTCTACCAAGATTTGTTCGTCTATAAATCGACGAATAAACCTCCCCAAGAACTTTAACCTTCAAAAGATCAAGAAAAATTCGAACACCCACCTTCTATCACTATATATCTTCCCTAGGTACGCACGATGTTCCACAAACATTATAAACATTTCCTTTCGTGCGCTCCAAGAATTGAAAAAAATTGACTAATTTGATAGGAGGAAACGTGAGGTAATAACTGGAGCAGTTACTCACAAACTGGGGTTTGGAGTGTGGTTGACTTAAACTTCCCTATATCTTGATTATTTTCCTCAAAAGATGTGACCCGTTACGTTGAAGCTCTTCACAGAATTTGAAACCGGTAACTAATTGGACCCTATAGAGGTATTGAAGAAAATGAACTATTTCAAATTGTAAACTTTGATGCTCATTATATCGAACTTAACACTCAAAATAAAGAATGGCATTAGAAATTGATGTTATTTTTGATATTTACCTGTTTTTCACTGGCACCCTGTTGTATATGTGGAAAACCAGTTTGGGCCACACTGTACATTAATTCAATCATAATTTTATAATTATCCTTGCCATTTTATGATCAACAGGTCGTATGTCGATGAAAGAAGTAGACGAACAAATGCTGGCAGTCCAGAACAAAAATAGCAGTTACTTTGTCGAATGGATCCCTAACAATGTCAAAACGGCCGTCTGTGATATTCCACCAGTAGGCCTCAAGATGTCCTCCACCTTCATAGGAAACACCACAGCTATCCAGGAACTTTTCAAACGGATTTCTGAACAATTCGCTGCCATGTTCAGGCGTAAAGCGTTCTTGCATTGGTATACAGGAGAGGGCATGGACGAGATGGAATTCACCGAGGCCGAGTCCAACATGAACGATTTGGTTTCTGAGTATCAGCAGTATCAGGAAGCCACGGCTGATGATGAATACGAGGCTGAGGAAGAACCAGCAGTGGACGATTTCAATTGTTGACGTATATTTTGATTTCACGAATACCAATTGATGAGGAAAGGTGATAGTTTGTTGAAAAGGAAAATTGATTTGGAACACTCACTGCCAAAGACCTCTGAACTCCTAACCACTGCACTCAAGTCTAGAATTTTTGATGATTGCATGAATGTCGTTTTATATATAAATAAGACGATTATTTCTTATGAACAGTACGTTTCCTATTGGTATGTTTTCGAGATAATGATAATATTTCACTTAGTTACATTGATGAGAAACACTGGAATAAATTTAGTAGTACCTAATAGAAAATCAATCGGTAATACACTACTTCATTCGGTTGGATGATCCTTTATAAATTGAATTTTATGATCTTCAATTAATTTTTGCATACTAACTATTCATTTGCATACTCACCATTTATTTGATGACCTATTTATTTTTCATGAGTTGATAGCATAAGAGATTTCGATACCAAAGAGACTATGTATATCAATTTCAACTTAATTTTACTGATGATGAATCGATTTTGCTTTTCACTTATCAAGACATCGATAAAAAAAATATTATTTGAAATATGTTAGTGTTGTTAACTAGTCGTAAATCTTCTTGACTCTTTGCCAAAGTAATTTTGATTTGAAATGTCTATTCGAATAATTATAGTTTATACATTATTTATAGTTAGGTCATAGGTTGAATTTGAAATATATTTGCGGTCTTTGGAGGACGTATCGATACTTTCAATATAAATATCGAACCTCTCCCGAAGATGGTTTTTATATTTCATGGGCATATTGCAAATAATATTTTTCATCATACACAGGATATGTGCACATTTTTGTATTTCGAATTTTTACATTTTTATTTATTATAAAACGTGTAGATTAAAGACTGAATTTTCTACCGACCGACAATGTTTGATCTACGTTCCTATTCCCAAATGTATTATTGAATAGATAATTCAATAAACATTGAGTACAGTTCTAATAATTATTGTGATAGGGACGGTTCCAGCACAAAGGACAGGCACTCAACTTATGAACCGAAGGTCGTGAATTTGAGCATTATGTGAGGCAGAGATTTTTTTATTTTTGAGGTCGCGGCGGTTTCATAGACTCGGCCGAAGATAGTTCTGTATGATTTACTGTTGCATTCCAATTAACAGTGGTGTTCTGAGGATTGAATAAAATGTCAGTAATGAAACCTACACACCAATGAACCACTTTTTGATTCACCCATTGATTGACGAAGCTTACGGAAATTGAGTTGTAGAGGTAGGTATATAGATGGTGAACTTATCAATATCGTAACAGAAACAACAGGAAAAAATCAAAATATAATACATAGTAGGGTGAATATGGTCAAGTTTATGGAATGAACAGGTGAATATCGAGGACTATTCAGAAAATAATTACTTTTGCCGAGTGACGAGATAGAAATTTATTTCATACTGCATCATAGAACATACCTTTACGTACCTGATTTCAATCCGGAAAATAGACTTTTACAGGATAGGCGCACGTAATATTTCATTACGTGCTACTATCCCGTAATGAAATTTTACCGGATTGTAAATATTGAACCGGTTCAGTTCTTCCAATGTCAAAATTTTCGGCTTAATTGGCTGATATCCAACTGCTTGTTTCTTTAAAAAAGCTTTCAATTTAGGAAATGTGGATATATCCAAATTTTCGTGGACTAGCAGCATTGACTTAACCATTGAATTTGATCAGAGTGACGAGCTTTCGAATTTGTTTGACTACAAAAATGTAAATACTATAATAAACAAAACTTGAACTATATTTTTTATTATAAAACTCAAACTGCCTTGAAAGTTAGATGAAAACTCACCAAGTCCAAAAAATAAGCCATCATTACATCTTCATTCACAAAATTCACGTTGCTGTCCATTTTCCATTGACAAAAAAGCTTGAATCCTTTGTCATAACGGAGTGACGATTTGTTGGGTATCAGATGCCCCGTAGCTTCATGTGATTTGCGCAAAATATCCTCAGGAATGAATAATTGATCTTGAGCTGTGTCCTGAACCATTTCGTGAAAAACGCGTAATGACAATCACTGACAGTATTATTTAAAACAAAAATTATGTTTCTGAGGGAACTACCTGCCAGCTATCTTGGGAGTGAATGCAAAATTCTGAAATTACTGGACGCAGATAAATAGATTAATATTTTATTTTTCACTGTTCATTTTTGTTTTTTAGCAGTATGAAATAAAATGTTATTCGTCACACGTCCGGTAAACTTTTACAGTACTCGTTTCGAAATTCTCACTCGTACTGTAAAAGTGTACTTACCGGACTAGTAACGTAAATATCTATTACGATACGCGAGTATCGTGAATAAGACTCATATTACGATATGAGATGGAAAATTTGTCAAACGAGGCCGAAGGCCGAGCTTGATAACCCATCGATTATCGTATTATATGAGTATACGATACGAATGTAGTACAATATTTTACCGACTACCAAACAGCTAATTATTCAATCCAAAATATTCGATAGTCCTTGTACTGACGATTCATTAGGAATATGTAACAAGCAACCGTTACAAGGGTTGGGCATATGGTTGTCGTGAATCTATTGGGCTCTCGGTTGTCACTCATTCGGCGAACTGTCAACTTTGACGCGTTAATTTCGATTCGATAAAAAATTCATCGGCATGAATTCGGATCAGGAAAGTTTAGATTCCGATATAGAAATTTCGGCGAATGCAGCAATCGAAACTTTAGTACCTGCTAAATCCCGGGATATATAGGTACGAAAATGAATGTCTATATTCATGATAAATTGTTTCTTATTTCTTTCTTTGAGTAAAAATGGAATTTGAAATTATATTTTTTTCACTTTACCGCACTAGTGCGGCATTGGGCATGGTGGGAATTGGGCATCGTGGGAATTGGGCATCGCGCTACGCACCTTTTGGATGTCGATACATAAATGAACTTCGAAGGTGTGAGTGTGAACTATGTCAGTTGGAAACAGTGGCTCATTGAATTAAAGATCCTACAATTCCTACATGGAGATAGATATTTTGAAATATTTCGTTATTTGGCTGCAAAATATGCTCTCATGCTCGTAAGCTCACAAGAAATTTGGAAATACCGAAATGTAAAGACTGGCGCTCTCGTACAAGATGAAAATATCAACAGATAATAGCGCTGATGAAATTGACTGAAAATTGATTACCAATCACTATCGCGAAAAACACTTAATTGATATCTGTTGAATGTGATGAGGTCATATACACGAGTGAACGTCCATTGGGTTTTCCGAAAATATCACTTCGAACTCACAGTGCCAAATAGATATTTTGTCACGGATCCATCAGCTTCTTCGTCATAGTGCATACAGAAATGGATAGGGCTTCATCTCCGTAGTCTTTCATAAAACGTATTCATCAATCGCTGGATTGTTAATGATAATAATCCCTAATCAATTATGGAATCGAACAAAGGAGTTTTCCAAAGAACTGTTAACGTTTTCCATTGATATATTAACAAAATCTACCTTAAAAGTTTCTTTCGGTCACCATTCCACAAAATGACCGCCGCAATAATTCAGACACGTCAGCTTGTATCTTGACGGTTTCTATTTTTGTGCATTGTGCATACCGAATTTCATGCTGGTAACAAGCATATAGCGAAATCGTACTCCTATGGAAAACGTTTGTAGTATTATATTTCGTATTTTTCAAAAGGTTCTGTCAGAAACAAATGTTTGGTTTAGTTTTTTTTTCAATAATTTTCAGGTATTCAAAGCGAGAAATGGAAAAAGTCCAATGAGTTATTTTTGGCAATTCCACTACTTTCGGTAAAATATCTGAACAGCTGTTACGGCATAATGTCCATTTTCGACGAATTGGACAAGTCTCTGAAATCTCGGTTAAAACGCCGAAACAGATCGTTGGACACTCATATAAAAAGGGTAGGTATATATTTTCCGAAAAATATGCTTTCTAGGGAAGATTCGTTTAGGACGAGTTCGGTCAGATAGTTCAAAAAAAGAAGTCTCTCTTGAACTCTCAATTAATTTTCCTCAAGTACGAATATAAGCGAGGAATGAAAAAAATCCCAGAAGTTTTACCAAAATGTCCAAATAGCTGCGTTTCGGCGTTGTGACCAACTTTCGGCGAAATGTTCAAATTTCTGTTTCGGCGCATGACCACTTCAAGGCAACTTGTCCACTGGCAACCCGAAAAGCTCATCCATATTGGTCGCCTGAAGACGCTTCAGCTCATGCACGGGTTCCCGCGCATACTGTCGTTCATGACAGCAAGTCATATTACATATGAGGAAAAATGAGTAAAAGATAATATATGACAGGACATTGATGAAATAAACTTTATCAATGAGAGGACCTGAAGAGCGCATGAGTGGTCTTCTCTAGTTCGAACTCATAGCTTTTCTTTCTCAGGGACGTTGAAATACCTCAATCAACGGTCTAGATGTATTCGAGGTCGCCAAGGTCATTAGATGACTGTGCGATGACATTTAAAATTAGGGAAACCATCCTGACATAGATTGAACGTCATCTAATGACTTTGGCGATCGCGAATAGCTGTGTGGTATTCGCGATAGAAAATAACACGTCGCCCCACCCGACGGCAGCCACTTGAACACTTATTTTGAGCGGTTTGCTTTGATGATATGACCGATAAGCACCACTAAGCACATACAAGAAACAAATGTGAACCAATGAAAACAAAGTAAACATGCTGCTTTGGCAGCTTTCATGCAACAACTCCGATAGGTGGCGTACGCTTATTTTTCATAGCGTATAGTCGTTGGTTGATATCAAGGTCTATTAACTTCTATAAGGTTACCTCATAGTATAGCATTATGGTGCGGGGGTGCGCGGAGGGGCGTGACGTCAGTGTTTCCCCACCACGTGATTGTAGATTTCGTTTGTGTCACTGTCAAATGAATTGAAACAATTTTTGAATTTGAATTCGAAAGAATCGCGAATTTTAGACTTTAGTTGAAAACAGGGTGACAAGAACACTGAAGATATCTTTGGAAGAGTGTGAGAGGTTGTATAATAATATGGTGTAGTATTATTCAAGGCTGGTCACATCATAAATATCATAATATTATTGTGTGGACTGGTGGAGTCAAGAGTGGATATAGAACAAACAAATGTTATGAAATGCCTGTTTGGCAGCCTCCACATGAGATTCAGATAATTCCAAAGGAAAATGATGAGCTGTGGCAATGTGAATGTCCCTGTGAAGCAGGCATGTCACGGTTTTGTATACACATTTTATAGGGACTTATATTGACAGGTAGGAAGGTGCAATTTGATCTATCACACACACAGGTAAAAAATACATTAAATTTCAGGAATGAAGACTTGGAATATGTGAAGCTGCATATATAACAAACAGAAGTGGTGAAAATTGAAAAAAGAGGGTAGATCAATCAATGATCTATTATACAGCCAAACCATTTCAATAGTTCTGCTACCCGCTTATTAAAAGAAGGAAAGTGACCCCCTAAAATCATTCTCCCTTTATATAATTGAAGTTAGTTTTACAGGGTATATTAGTCTATTTTGTTTTTTGTTTGGAAGCCAATGAACTCAATGTAAACAACTAGCTATTGCATGGTACTCAGGAACACTGGTGAGTTTATTAAATTTTACTTATACTTGCTACTTCATTTTTACATGTAGCAAGGAGTCTTGGGAAAAAAGGCAATCAACTTCTTCTTTCCAAAGGATTTTTCAAATAAATTTGTTCAGCATGGAGTTGAATATGAATCCAAAGTTCTTTCAAAATGTTCATTGAAAATGATATTGAATTTCAAATCATGCAAACAAATTTGTGTCCCAATATTTTCCATGGTTAGGATTTTCTCCATATAAAATTATTTTTCAGGAAGGAAG